TCATGGTGCGCATGTCCTGGCATGCAGGAGGCGCTGCTCCTGGTGGTGCCCAGGAGCACACCTGCCCCACACAGTGCCCATATGGCCTTGGCTCCTGAGGACAGCACAGTCTTGTCACCAGCCCACCAGCAGCGTATAACTATTGCTCATGGCCCACATTTTTGTCAACACTATATCTTCAGACTTACACACTTTGGGTGTGAAATCTCAGTTTATTTTTATGGGGCAGGAAGAGGGGCATGTGACCTGTCGGCATGGTATCCACCCTGGTCCAGCCACTCAAGCAGGTACATGATCCAGATGAACTGACCTGGCCAGGGAGACTGTCCATCACGAGGCCCTTTGTGTTGAGGGGGAAAGTGGAGTGTCTGAGGAAAGCCTGGAGAGAAGACACATACCAAGAGAAGTAAAACGAACACATCTGGGAATAGATTTGGGAGCTGATAGTGGGCAGAGAGAGAAGGTGCTGGAGCAGGGGTCTTGCAGGGTGGGTTTCTCAGAGGAGGGCCAGCAGGACCTCTGGAAGAGGGAGGAAATGATGAGAAGTAAGCAGATATTGAAGAGAACATGGCCTATGCCAAAGTTCAAAACCAAGAGGAAGTTCTTCAGCCTGAGGGAGAAACAAGTAAATCTTTAAAAAAAAAAAAAAGATTGGGAGTGTTTGGCAGAAAAGAATTCAAACTAGAGAACTGGTAGGGGTGGAAATGGGGTGGTTAGATAAAATTACCAAGGCAGCCAAGCCCCAATACCTAAAACCAGGATCCTGACAGTGTCTATCTCAAAAAGTTGTTGGGAAAGTTACATGGAATAGGAGCTCTAAAACACTGGCTTAATGTCTGAGTAATGCAACAAGTATTAGCTCTCATTAATAAGTTGTCCAAGGGGCCTCCCTGGTGGTGCAGGGGTTAAGTCTCAGAACTACCAAGTGATCACCAGCCACTGTGGCCTGAGTTGGATCCCCGGCCAGGGAGATACCCACATGGCACAGCAGACCTCTCCTGTCTCACCTGCTGCTCCCCCCACTAATGTATTTCAGTTGATCCTCCTGTTCTGCTCCCCACTGTCTCTGGTGAATCCTCTCACCTCCCACACCTCTGGCTACACCCCAGTTCTTATATGCATAAATAAATCTTTTATAAAGTTGTCCAAGATCACACAGCTCTTAAGTGGGTGTCCAGAATTTGAATCATTTCTCTGATTCCTCTGACTTCAAGGCCCAGGTTTTTAAGCATTGTGCTCTGATGAATAATACCTACCACTTACTGAGCACAGTGCTCCATCGCCCACACTAGTTTTTCTCATTTAATCCCTACAACATCCCTGAGCTGGGTATCGACACTCACTAGAGCACCTTTCAACTTCCTTGTCCAATTCTTGCTGTTGGGGTTCTCACCCAGGCCAGCCTGGCTCCAATGTCCGCTCCTCAACACCACACTGGGTGTCAGGCAGCTTGGGCTCCGTGCCAGATTTGCCACTGATGAACCTGTATCACTGAGCCTCAGTTTCCTCATTTTTTTAAATAATGGGCTAGGTTAGAGAAAGGGTTCCTTTTGGCTCTACTATCTGGAAAGGTGTATTTGATGAAAAGACAGAGTTCCAGGTAGGAGGGAGGGGTACGTTTGAGACATACAGGAGCCCCATCCCCATTTGACTGCACAACATCAGCCAACAGAGATCCAGCGGCGCCAAGAGATGAGTCCAGGTCTCCAAAGCATTAGTCATCGTCTGCTCCCACATCCCAGGGGGCCAGAGGGGCTGATGCTCCAATTACGCTGGATTGATGAGGGAGCTCCAGGATGATGAAAGGGCGGGAGAGGAGATGTCACAGGACACATGGGAGATCTGAATCACCGGCTTGGAGAAGGCAGGAAGGGCCAGTCTTCACATCTCTGGTGAGGATGGGAGCCCAGTGGCAGGGTCGAAAGACTCAGGACATCTGCAACCAGGGCCCCGGTCCTGGCTCTGCCACTGACAAGCAATATGACCTTTGTTTGACAAATTACTTCCCCTCTTCAATCTTCAGTTTCCACATCTAAAATATCAGGGAGGGCCTCCCCGGTGGCAAAGCGGGTTGAGCACCGCACTATGAAGCTGTCCCAGCCTCTGCAGCGCCGGTTCGATTCCCAGGTGGCCAGGGAGATTCCCGCATGGCGGGGCAGACCTCTCCTGTCTTGCCTGCTGCTCCCCTCAGCAGTGCTTTCGTTCTGTCTGCCTGTTCTGCTCCCCACTCTGTCTCTGGTGGATCCTCTCACCCTCCCGTGCCTCTGGCCTGTACCCCAGCTATTGTATAAATCAAAAAAAAAAATCTTAAAAAAAAAGTTTGTTTTTTTTAAAAATCAGGAAAATGACTTTTTAAAAAACATTGCACTAATTTATACAAGAAATATATATGATCGCTAACACCAACTAGAAATGGTTCAAATAGCCTGACAATTGCTAAGCAGATGGTGGGGAGGGAGAACGGGTTGATGTACATCAAAATATTAAACACCGTTTAGAATGCTGAATAGTAACTAACATTTATTGAGCACTAATTACGTGCCAGGCACTGGGCAGAGGCCTTCCTGTGCATGACATCATTTAATATCCTCGAGCATCTTCTGAGATGGGTATTACCATTTTTGGATGAGTTAGTTGAGGCCCTGAGAAGTTACGTCACCCAATGAGCTAATTAGTGATGGTGTCAGAACCCAAGTCCAGAGGTTGATCTGAGTGGGAGGGAGACGTTCCTAACCCCTGCACACCTGTGCCTCACTCAGACTGTGGCATGTGAGGACCACGTAGAAATAGAGAAATGCATATATGAGGCATGTGAAGGGGGAGAAACTTCCAGAGTGATTATGTTAATATAAAAATGTTGGCATCCACATAAGGCTTGGGAGTTTAAAAATAGGCAATGCTGGCAACTTACTTGGGGCTGCTGCTAAAGTGAAGACATTTCTGCTTCATTTTTGTAGTAGAGATGATGAAACATTTAGTACCCGAGTCAGAGAGTAGCATACCTGATCGGGCTTCTGTAGTTCTGATTCTTAAGTTTTCAGGTGAGCAGAGAAGGGAGGTACAGCGGTGCTTCCTCCTCCCTAAGATGCAGGAAACCGGACCACATGATGCTGCCTCCGGCTTCCCAGCTACTGCAAGTTGCCTGCTCTGGTTCTGTGGCGCATACTGGAGTCACCTGAAAAACTTAAAGCTATTGATGTCTTGCTTAACTCCAGGGTTTTGACATGGAAGTTTAAAAAGTTATCTCAAGTGATTCCCACATGCAGAAACATTTGAACACCACCCCTCCATCGCATTCACTCACATAGAAGGCCCTGATTTCTTTTTGTTTTTTAAAGATATAAGATGCTTTTTATTTAAAGATTTATTTTTATTTACTTATGCATACAAGAACTGGGGTATGGACCAGAGGTGCAGGGGGTTAGAGGATTCACCAGAGACAGAGTGGGGAGCAGAACAGGCAGATCCACTGAAATACACTGCTGAGGGGAGCAGCAAATGAGACAGGAGAGGTCTGCTGTGCCATGTGGGTAGCTCCCTGCCAGGGACTGAACTTGTGCTGTAGTGGCTGGTGATGGCTTGATAGCACTGAGACTTTAACCCCTGCGCCACCAGGGAGGCCCTCTCTCTGATTTCTTTAGTAATCTCTCTGTTATCCTTATTTTTCACCAAACCATTTACAATTTCCTGACCATACTATGACCTGCTATTTACATTTCTGTGCCTTAACATGTAATTTCCTCTGCCTGGAATGCCTTCTCCTTTGTCTATCTGGAAAACTCCATTTATCTTCAATATCGTGGTAGCCAGGCTCCAGGATGGCGCCCCATAATCTCCACATCCTGATAGTCACGTCTTTGCACACAAAATAGTCCTTCCCACACAAAATAGGTCTGATCCATATAATAATAGATCTTGTGGAAATGATGGGTTGTGACTTTCAAGGCTGGGTCAGAAAAGGCCTGGTAGCTTCCATCTTATTCCTCTTGGATCACTGGCTTTGGGAGAAGCCAGTGCCATGTCCTGAGCAGCCCTATGGAGAGCTCCACGTGGTGAGGACCTGAAGCCCCTGCCAAGAGCAGTGTGGGGAGTCCAGTGGAAGTGGGCCCTCCACTCTTCATCAAGACTTCGGATGCGTCTTCACTGCAACAGCATGCAAGATCTTAAGCCAGAACTACCCAACAACGCCACCAGAGAACTCTAAGTCATAAAGTAAGCTGTTCCATAATGTTTGTTGTTCCAAGCTGCTGAATTTGGGGATGATTTAGATAACTAATACAATTAGAAGAGTAGATAACTAATACAAATACTGAGCTCAAGTGTATGATACTGTGACGCCTGCCTGGCTCCTCTCCTCTGCTGACGTTGCTCATCCCTGTGGCTACTGAGCCTTACGCATCCTCCATGCCAACGCTCACCCAGCGGGCCTGACTTGGCTTGCCCTCCTTGCCCTCTGGATTCAGTGCCACGAGGATGGGGGCAGCCATGGTACTGCCTCGGTAAGCACCTGCAGAGCGAATGACCACTCAGATCTTCCATCTGAGTGGATTCTCCCGGCTTCCTAGCCCAGACTTCTTCCCTCCACTTAAACCCCAGGGTATGACTGCTGGAAATCAAAGATCTCGTGGAGAACTCTCACATGACATCTGAGGATCTTCTTAATAGTCCAACAAAACCCTGGCACCCAGAGGCGCATCTAAAGCACTAGCCTGGAAATCAGATCAGGGTTTTAATTCAAGTCTGCCAGGCAGCTACTAGTCTTGTCTGAGCTCTGGTTTCCTCATGGACCAAATGATTTAAGGGCTCCTCCTAGTCTAAAATTCACTAATTCTATATTTTCAGCTAGCTATTACTTTACTCTTGTTCCACAGAAGAAAATAGGCTAATAATGGTAAAGCACAGCAAGTGGTTCTCAAATTTGGCTGCTACCCCTGGAGCCCTCCCCTTCTCCCCTGCCCTCCCCCCACAAACACACACTTGGGCCCCCATACCTTCTGGATCTCTAGAGACATGGCCAGGCCATGGATATTTGCATTCGGTTCCAAGTGACCCTGCCTCTAGAGTGCGCATCTGGAGCAGAGCATGTCCTTTGCAAGTGGGTTAGAGACTTCAAAAAATTTTCTGCCAGCCAGTTGGCTCCATGGTGCCATATTAATGGGTTTGCCCCCTGAAGCGCTAGCTTTATATGAGGTGGCTAGGAGGATGCGTGGACGGAAGTGGTCCACCTCACTGCCAGAAAGCAATTCAAGGTGTACGGTCAGGACTCGGTCGGTTTCAACAAAATGACTTTGCATAATCCACTGGCTTTAGGGCATTTACTGGAAACCAAACCTGTGGGTTATTTTAGCTTATATAGGACAAAGAACTGCTTTCCTCTTGTGAGATAGTAATGAACTTGTTGAGGTTCCAATCCTGGCACCAGCACTTACATGCTGGGTGACTGTGGCTGAGCTAGCCAAGCTTTCTGTTTTTTTTTTTTTTAAGATTTATTTATTCATGCATGCAAGAACTAGGGTACAGGGGGTGAGAGGCAGAGTGGGGAACAGAACAGGTGGATCTACTGAAATACACTGCTGAGGAGAGCAGCAGATGAGACAGCCACGTGGGTAGCTCCCTGGCCGGGGATTGAACTCATGTTGCAGCGGCTACAGATAGCTTGATGGCACAGTCTTTAACCCCTGCGCCACTGGGGAGGCCCCCTAGCAGAGCTTTCTAAACCTCTTTCCCGATGTGCTGCATGACGACAATATGCGCTACCTTTCAGGAATGTCGCTGGGATGAAATGCTACAATATGTAAAACACTTCGCACAGTATCTGGCACAGGACAAGTGCTCATTAAGTAGTAGCACACTACGGCACAAACAAAATATGGCACATTTATTATTAACAGCAACATAGATTTGTGTAGTGCTTGTAAATTACAAAGTGATCTTCATTCTTACATTGAAACCCTCTTTCCCCAAAAACTCCTGAGGTGAGCAAGGGTGAGTGACCCCATTTTACAGAAAAACAAAGAAAGGCTCAGAAGGGTTCACTGGCTCCAGCTCAAATGGCAAAAAAGTGTCAGTGTCTGGATTCAGACCTGGGTGTGATTCTATGAAGATGAATAATTACATATGCACACTTGGCAGGCCGAGCATCTAGGGACCATCTGGCTTAGCAGGAGGAGGACTGTATTCTGAGCAGCTTCTTTTTTTAGATGAAAGCAAGATGAGAAAAACAAGCTGGCAAACTTCTTTCCCTCATTTTCAACATTGGTGTGATTATGCTCAGTTTTGTCCCCCTTCTAACTCCCAAGCGCTACATGTCCATGGTTCTTGCTTTGCTCCAGCAGCTTTTGGCTGTACCGTCACTGGCTCTGCCCTGGTCCCCACAGCTGCGATCTGGGCAAACCAAAGAAAAAGGAAGCAGGGGCAGCTGGAGACATCAGAGGGCCGGGTGAACACCAGCTGTTCCCAAGTCTGGCTGGAGAATAAGAAGCCTGCTGATGGGGGTGGAGGGAGGGGAGAGGGATCCCTGTTCCCCATGTCAGTCAGCAGGAGGGTGCCTTTTCCATCCCACAGATGGGTCCCACTCCTGGAATAATGTAATATTTAGTGCAACACTAAATATGGCTCAGAATGTACTTCTCCTGGGGAGCAAGAGGCCAAGAGATCAAATGTTAGTTGAATTTAATCAAGGCTTTCACAGAAGATCTGGGGAGCTAGAAACGGGCCTAAAGGATTAGCCATACTTGGATGTACAGAAGGGTTGGGAAGGCCTTGCAAACAAGAAAACACCATGAGAAAGGGCATGGTGTTTGTCTGGGGAATGAGTGGGCATATTAAGGGCACCGTGGAAAAGGGGTAAGAAGGCAGGAAGGGTGGGGCAAGATCAGACCAGGAGCGAGCTGTAAGTGTCTAGGAAGAAGTGAGCCCCTGCAGATTCCTGACAACTGAATGACAGACACGAAATGTCAGAACTGAAGGGGTCTTAGGGATCAGCCAATTCCACAACCAACACCCCACACTCGCGAAACTGAGGTCATGAGAGGAAAATCACCCGCTATGTGGTGCCAGAGGGGAAGCGACTGTGGGAGACCAGAACCCAGTGCCACGGGCAATCTGTTTGGTCCCCTTTCCATTAGACACCTTGCCAGGCTGGGATCTGACACAAGAGTAGTGTTTTAGGAAGATCTGGCAGCAGAACACAGGGGAGAGACAGATTAGCATGCAGGAGCCTGTAAAAGTTAGTCCAGAGGGGAGCTGATGGAGGCCTGGAATCAAATAAAATGGAAAGGACAGGCTGGGCGTGAGAAACAGCAAGAGGGAAGAAAGAAAAGGACTTGGTAAGAAACTCGATACGCCAGTGAGGGAGATTGAGCTGTTCAGAGGTAGTTCCCAAGCCATCCTCAGACCTGGGGAGTTTCTCCTGAGGTCACAGGGCACACAGGCCCTTCACCCCACCTCAAGGCAACAGACAAAATGAACACAACTAGCCTCTCCCACAATGCGCCAGCTCCAGGTCCTTTCCCTGTGGCCAACCACCACACAGGCCTCCTCCTCTGCTTCCCCATCCATGTTTCAGGATCCTCACTTTATATCTAGCGCGCAGACGTGTGTTCGGATGGTCAGGTGTGAAATGAAACTCAAACCAGACCTGCGCATGTTTATTCTTCCTGGTGGTAAAGAAAACCTTCAAGGCTAGGCCTATGTGGATTTTGATTTCTGAAGTGAGAGTAACAAGAATGGGAAACTCTTTTTATCTAGCCCCACCCTCCGTCAGTGGTGGGAGTTTTAATCTTCAGATGAGGGAGGGAACTGAAACCTAGAGATTGGAATAAGAACTTAGACCAAGACCATCTGGGGCTGTTAAGTACAAGGACAAATGATACTAACTTCATAGGTAGGTAAGGAGAACCAAATAAAACAATACTAGTAACAGCTAGTGTTTATCAAACCCTTAGAAAGTGCTTCACATGAATTCTTTAAGTATTATAAACAACCCTAAGAAGGTCAACACTATTTGAATTCCGTTCAAGTGAGAAAACTGAAGATCATCGAAATTAATAAATTAGCTGTCAGGGCTGTCAGAGCTGTCTGATTTCTGTTCTCAATCCCTGCACTGCCTTCCGGTCTATCGAATTGACAGAGCACCTGGCCCGCAGCTCTCAGTCAGGCTGAGCATTCTCCCCCGACTCACTCCTCAGTGGTGGTGGAGATAGCACAGTCTCAGCACAAGTCATGCAGAACCGCAGCAGAGTCTGACATCTTTCCTTCTATTCATTATGAAATCATACTCTTCCTACCCTGGCAGTTAAAAGATTTGCAAACAGAGTATGCATATGAGCCTGGACAACCCAGTGACTAAGAGCAGGGGTTTCAATGCCTAACATCCCAAAGTTAAATGAAGTCAGTTCATACTGAGTAGTGTGTGCCTATCTTCCTGACAGATTACCAATCAAAGTAGCCAATATTTTACTTTGTGGCTAAAAGGATAATTTTCAATTACATGGAACATTCACCTACTCTCATGTTTCTGGAGAAATGGGCCTTTAGCAGAACAGCAGCTGAATGAAGGTGGATTCAGTTTCCAAACAACTTCATTCTCTAGCAAGGTACCAGGTCTTTAAAAATAATAGATGCATTATTTATGGATTTAAGGTAGAAATTGGGCCTCATGTGCTAATGCTGCCAGCACTGGCCCCTTGGCCTAGAGAGAACCAGCTCTGCAAGGAGGGAGTAGTGTCCACTGGTTCTCTGAGTGCCCAAGTGGCCGGGCCCAATGTGGGAGCAGGAAGGCCCTACCACGTATCTGTACGTGCTCTCCTAGAAGGAAACTCATAATGTGCTGTTGAGTTAAACAGCAAGCCAACAACTTCGGGATAGTCTTTTTAAGAATATATGGAACATTTATGAAATTGACCCTGCACTGGGGCAACAAGCAAGTTTCAGAATAAAAACCAAATGGGTGCTTTTCTCTCAGTAAAAGCAATTAAGGTAAAAAACAATGAAATAGAAGACAACTGGGAAAGTCTCACGTTTGAGGGTAGGAAACATACTTTGGAATAACTCACCCACTCTTCCTAGCTTTTCCTAATGCAGATCCCCATTTAAGAAACGCAGGCACCAAGGCTGGAAAGAACATAATTTGTTCAAGTTTCCCCAGTTAGCAGTGTGGCGCTAGGGCCCAAAGCCAGGCTGTTGGACTCTAGTGTCCACATGTCTACACCTCACTAGGATTCAGACGGCCCCTCCCGCAGGCCCAGGGCCTCACTGCATCCCAAGTTTCACATCACAAAAGAGCTGTTGAGAGGCTTGCACCTCCTGGGTAGAGATGCTCCTGTGCATTTACCTCCCCTGGATGCTCCCACTTGGGCTGAGGAGAGAAGCCTAGAGCAGTGGAGAGAAGTGTTTCAAGTTGAAGTAGCTAGAAATTGGGCCTCATGTGCTTTGAACCAGATTCCTCAGAAGACTTACTTTCTTTTCAAAGGTTTTTTTTTTTTCCCTACATGGACATAAGTGGTAAGCGAACAAAGAAAGACAGAAGGAAAAGTTACTTCCAGATGGTTCCCCATCTTGCTCTAATGCAGATTAAATAAGGAGAATATTCCAGCATATCAGTGAACAAGGATGAGTATTAATATCATTCATATTTATAAGTGGAACAGGATAGAAATTCCATCTATATCGTGACTTAAATATGGGGTGCGGGCTTCAGAAAGAGAAGAGAGACAACTACAGCACCCTAGTGGTGAGCAAGTAGGAAGTTCATACTATCTGAGGTAGGAGCCAAGACCAAAGTGTCCCTAGGCCCCTCAGGGATGGTCCCCGACTCTAACTGACCAAACTTGATCCCTCTTGTGGCAAGGGCCTGTTCAGGTGGCTACTTAACACCATTGTTCTGTCTCTTCTGCTCAGCCTGCTTGAGTTTCCTCCTGTCTAGGTACATTTTTAGCAAAGCCCACTTCGGAGGTACTCCATGTACCTCAGCTTCTCTCCCTGTGCCGTGAAGATAACACTGCTTTGCTCCCCACCGTGGACTCACAACTATAACTCAGCCCTGATTACATGCTCAGGACTTTGTTTCAGGCTATGAGAAGGCTGGAAATAACAGAAAACGCGATGGTGGTCCGTACCCTAGAAAGTTACCGGAAGTGCTCAGAACTCACCAAGCAGCCCTGGAGAGGGAGAAGGCTGAGAGGAAGGAAGAGACAGTCCCAGCAGGCCAGAGGTCCTGAGGTGGGAATTTTCACTCCATCCTGTGACTTCATTTCTTTCCTGGAGAAACCACACTGGTCCCAGGTGAGGGAGTAGGTGAGCTGGGTTCATAGTGCTCGGCTGGGGTTCCGGTCTCCCCTAAGCCCCACCCCACTGCTTGTTCCCCACACAATCAGGGCTCAGGACCCAGAAAGTCGGTTTGGCAATTAATAAGTGATCCAAGTCCCAATGTGAGTTTAAAATCAAGTCCAACATCAGTTATCCAATCAGCAGTGTGATTACATCTTCTCAATCTGTGAAGAAGGGTCATGTCAACCGCTTCCTGATAGCAGGTTATAGGCATCCCTGGGCAGGCCCCAAATGGGAACTTGGCTCAGTGACAAATGGCCAGTTGTGCCTACAGGCTAGACAGATGGTGTGGGGACCCTGGGGTGAGCGACGGTCCGATGCCTTCAATGAGGCTATCCCACTGGTCATAGTCCTCTTTGAGATCTGCATGGGAAGAGAAGAGGAAAACCAGGTCAATCATTGCAGGTTAGAGCACAGAGCAGCTCCCAAGGGGTCATTCTAGAGATAGGAGCTCCTGTAAGGACTGCTGTGGTGGCGGCAGCAACGGAGACGATTTTTCATGCAGTGCCTCCGCAATAAATGACTTGTTTAATTCACAACTCAATAATGATCATAATAGAGGGTAACATTTATTGAAGAATAATTCATTCTGGGGATTGTGCTAAGTATATGTTTTTCATTAATTTTCACCCTGTCTCTATGAGATAAGCACTCTTACTGTCCCTAGTTTACAGCTGGAGAAACTGAGACTCAGAGAAGAGACCTGATTTGACCAAGGTCATTACAGCCAGTAAGTGGTAGAGACAGAATTTGAACTCTTGGTCAGAAAGGATGAGGAAATAGGGAATCTATTTCCAGGCTCAGGGAGGCTGATGATTAAGAAGTGGCTGTTCACACTTCAGCAGGGGATGGAAACCCAATGTCATCACAGTAAAGAGCAGAAGGAACAGAACAGCAGCATTATGAAGCCGCATGATGCTGGGTATGATTCAGGGGAGGCCCAGGTCGCAGGGAGGTGCATCTAACTATACAGCAAGCACAGTCAGAGGGGCCCAGGGCCTCAGGCTGAGGGCACAGCTGAGTGAATCAAACAGCTAGGCCAGAGGAGGAAGCACCCTCCACCCTTGGATCACCAATGCCTGCCGAGGACCTGCTGTGGGCTAGGTCCCCAACAAATCATGCTACATATTCACTTATTCAAAAAATACTGGGTGTACACACAATGCACGACAGGCTGTTTTTGGAGCTAAAATTAAGGATTTCTACAGACAGAAACCCTCATCCTCATACAGCTCACAATCCAGTAGGCAGAGATAACAATTAACAAAATAAATGATACAGGAGGTGAAAAAGGTGGTATATGCTTTGGAAATAGAAAGACAGAAGCGGGAAAGCTGGACAGGGGGCCAGGAATGAGGGAGGAAGGGAGGGCACAATGTTTAAAAAGGGTGAGGTCTGAGCAAAGACTGAAGGGAGGCAGGCATGCGCCACAAAGATATGCGGGCGGAAACGGGGGGCCACAGAAGACTGCAGTGGAGAAAGATGGTGCCTTGGTGCTGGGGGGGGGGGGTAGCATCTACCTGAAGGGGTAGGATCCTGTACTTCCGAAGCGGGAGACCAAATACAGGCAGGCCAGTAGGCAGCAAGCGAACCCCCCAGTGTCTCTCTCTCTCTCTCTCTCCTCTCTCTCTCTCTCTCTCTCTCTCTCTCCCTCTCTCTCTCTCTCTCTCTCTCTCTCTCTCTCTCTCTCTCTCTCTCTCTCCTCTCTCTCTCTCTCTCTCTCTCTCTCTCTCTCTCTCTCTCTCTCTCTCTCTCTCTCTCTCGTGCTCTCGGCCCAGGCGTCTGTACTTACAGATGCGAGTGCCTCGTGCTCACTGGCTTCTCAGCCCAGGTATCTGCAATCACAGGCGCACACGCCCCATGTTCGTGATTTTTGCAATAACACATTGTCACGTGTGGGTAAGGGAAACTGGGAGGAAAGCAAAGCCACGGGTGGCGGCTGTAGAGGCTAGCAAAGGGAGGCGAAAGAGCCCGAGCTGCTCCAGCTTCCCTACAATTGGGATGAGAAAGCTTCACGGGTGGGTTTTAGGGAGAACAGGGAAAGAAGAATCAGGGAAAGTGGCAGACATTTGCAGTGTGAACCCTGACGCTTGGCTTTTTGTCATGCAGGTGCCTGACTTAAGTTTTCATGTGGAGACACCCACTTCAAGGAGGGCCACCTTGTGAAACACGCCGCCTCCTTCTCTGAGGCGCCTTTGTGTTACAGAACCTCACTGAGGTCACTGGCCATTTGGGACTGTGTGTGTGTGTGTGTGTGTGTGTGTATGTGTGTTCGTTCTCTCTGGCATGTTAAATTCCCTGCTCTGTTTTAAATTCACCAATAAAGGGTGAGGCCATGAGCCCCTAGGCCCTTACCCTGACCTGACACAAGCCTCTGTGCCACAGGTATGCTGTGCAATTTCCTGGGCTGGTAAGTCATAAAGCTCTTATTTCCCCAAGTTTCCTGATGGTGATTGCTGACGAGCATCTTGCAATCCTAAGAACCACCAGGATTGGTCCAGCCACAATGAAGACCATGGACAGGCTGAAGCTGGCGCACAACATGGAAATGAGATGGCGACTGGAGAGGAAAGTGGGGTCAAGAGAGATTTTTTAAAGAGAAATTTCAGCAGGAAATGAAGCTGCAGAGAGGGCAGAATTGCTGGCTTGATGATCCTGAACAGGCCAAAGAGAATGAAAATCTCATGCGCACGCAGAGGTGTTGGCCTGTGTGAGGCTACAGGCCGGACACTCGCGCAGCCAGACGGAAGGCTGAGTGATGCCAGGAGGTGGGAGATATGATGTGGGGACTCTGAGGATTGCTTCCATTTTCTCAAACAGAGGAAGGTAAAGTAAATCAGCTGAGAGACAGGATGGGGGAAGGAGGTGTGAGAGGTCTGAAGGGGAGAGTGCGAAACAGTCTTCCAGGAGAGTGGGCGAGAGGAGGCGCATGTAGTTACTATGAGAGAAGCACCGACCTCAACAGTAGACAATGCCCCAGTGTCAGCGGAAGTGCGCTCTCAGAGGCATCTTTAGGAGTGGTGAGAGGTTTAGTCGAGCCACCTACAACCTATTTTAGCTTCCCATGTGATCATGCACTGTGGGGCCGCCCAAAAGCTTTTCTTGCTTTGTAGACCTAATTACTTCAAGTGGAGAAGCTGCCTTTTTCAGATTGTCTTATCTCCTACCAACTGCAAGAGCCCTCTGGGCCTCTGCCTCTCAAGGGCCCCAACCTGGCCTGGCCTCTAGGATGCAGCCAGGTGCAAACACAAGCCCATTCCTGGGATTGCTGCTGAGAAGCCACCAGAGTCCCATAGCCTGTGCAGAAAATTCAGACGTACTTCAGCAAATACATGGGCTGCTAGATCTCCCTTATGCCCAGTTGTCTACCTTTGTCTTTCAACAACTAACTGTCTTGAACTCTAGATACACTAAACACAGCATCCCCAAACTGACAAGGTGCACTCAAGCCTTTGTGCCTCCTGCCTCTTCCCTGCCCAGGGAACCCTCTTCCTTTGTTAAGATGAAAAACCAGCACTGCTTTGTCTACAGAGCCTTCTTGTTGGCTGCCCACTTCCTCAGACACAGAGGGCAGAGGTAGGTAGGAACCTGTCCTCTGTGTCTCCTGAGCACGTACCCTGGTCGGGGAACTTTCCTGAGATCATCACCAGAGACACCAACAGAACAGTGATGAAGCGTGTGGGCTCTGAAATCAGACAGCCTGGCAAAAATTACTTAAAATTTCTAAGCATCGGTATCCTTACCTATAAAATGGAGTCACTAATAAAAGTACTTATCAAAAAGGGCTATCTTTAGGATTACGCATGATAAAGTACTTAGCAGGAGTCCTGGTGTAAAGTCTTCCACAACCTTCCTACAGTCTAAGATCTCTTCCTCGATCTCCTCTTCTAGCTTGTCTCCAGTAACGGGTAACTTAACTCGACAGGCAGTGTTGCTAAGGGGAGCCCAATGTGCCACGAGAGTCTGGGACATCTGTAGCCTTCAGCTCTTACCTTATGACGCGGTGCCTAAAAGGCGACAGGGGAAGTGGGCTGAGTGCCACATGGTCAGCCCATGTCTTGAGACACAGACCCTTCCACTCCTACCAGGGGATAAAGATGATGTGCTAAAAGGTCTCCAAACCCAAAGCCTCTAAACTCAGGCCAGAATAATGGCTTGTGATGAGTAAGAGCAAGTGAACAGGCATAAATATAAAATGCAGAAATGCAAATTTAGGTTAAAAAAGTCAATATATTCATAATAGAACAGGCAGATTTAAAAAGCAAACTCGCTCCAAACCAAAGTCGCTTGGCACTTGTGGCAATGTCGGCGCACTGAGGCTGTTTAGTTACAAGTCTAGTGTCCAAAGCACAGAGGTCTGCTGTCCCAGGGACTGGCCAGATCAGATCCAGGTCATTGTGTTCGAGTCAGGGCACCGCATGTAAAAACAGACATGGCGGTATAGGCCACAATGCAGGGAAATCTAAGGGTTCCATACACCCCATCTCTCTCCTTACCGAGATGCTTCTGCAGGAAGGCCAACATGGCCCGCACCACAATCTCCTGACCTGCATAAGGGTCCAAGCTCCCACAGGATTGAGTAGAGAAAAATTTTCCAATCCAGCTGCTAGTCACAAAAGCAAAGTCCGTTTGACTCCGATGAACAGAACCACTGAAAGTGAAGAGAAACCAAATAATTGGTAAGGGTCTGGAGGCTAGGGCACATGAATATTATTAAGTACCTACTATGTACAAGGTGCTTGATGTGAGTTACATCACTGGATTTTTCACAACAGTCTTGGAAGGGAAGTATTTTCTCCCTTTGACAGAATCAGAGGAGAGAAATGATCTGAGGTCACAAAGCTAGAAAGGGTATGAATGCAGGTATACCTGTTTCAAAGCTGCCTAAACCCCAAGACCATAGCACCTGGCAGGGCAGGGAAAAGTCTGAGTGAGCTGGAGGGATGGGGGTTGGGGGCAAGGGCTGCTGCAGCCGCCATCCCTGCTCTTATAAACAATATTGTGCCACAACTTTACCCTCTGTCCTTCCAAAGATTAACAAAACATATTAGCTCCTTCTTCACAAAGTGAACAGGAAAATGGGATTGCCTGCCTTTGTTATGTAATCAGGAAAGCAAGGGCAAGAACAGGTAAAAGAGGAATTCCAGATTCGAGTTTAAGTCCTTCAATGTCAACATGGCTCCTGATCTGCATACAAGACATTTCTTAAAGTCACTCAAAAATTTCCTCTGTGAAAAATGGCTCCTGAAAACTATCTGATGATACGGGTCATAGAAGTGAAGAGAATGCGGTTTCTCTGGGCATATTTAGGTGGTTATGGGAGACATCTGGATTTAGGTATTCGTGAATGTCTCAAAAAAATCTATCGCATGAATGTCAAAACTCTTCTATATGCATACTTTTCAAGACTCAGTATAATTCCCAAATGAGGGCAGAGCTCTCTGGACCCCACCCAGGCCCACCCTCTTCCTCACCAATACACAATCCCACAGTAGTTTATCTAGAAAGCGACAGGTAAATCCTGCCATAAAATCATACAATAAAGTAGTAAAGAAATCACTGTAGGTGGAGTTAAGTGGACAAGAGGGATGGCTAGGAAATTTTGAAGGAATTAAGAGTTCAGGTAAATCCTGCCATAAAATCATACAATAAAGTAGTAAAGAAATCACTGTAGGTGGAGTTAAGTGGACAAGAGGGATGGCTAGGAAATTTTGAAGGAATTAAGAGTTTGAAATTCAGGAAGTATCTAGATATTCTATTAATGGGTAGAACTTCTGAATAATTTAGAAGAAATGAAGGGAGCACAGCTGAATAGAAAATGGAGTGAGGCTGGGGATCACAACCTTGGGGTTTACTCACAGGACAGTGATGATCCTGGATTGTTCATGCCGGGCACAGATCTTCTTCATCAAGTTAACACTCTCGACTGTCTGGAATTTCTCAGCATTGATGAAGAACACAGGGCCTCGGGCCTTGGGGTAAAAATCCCGTTCCAGAGGAAACATCCAAGCATCCAGAGCCACTGCACACCTGAAAAAGGAACAGACGCCTGGGAATGCCATGCCAGGCTGAAGAATTAGGGCAGCGGGAATGGGGCAGAGTTCTTCCCTTCATGGGTGAAGGCTCAGAAAGGCAGGAACGGGGGCCCATACCCTTCATTTAAGATTTGGATAGAGATAATTTGCACAGGTCACCAAAGATCCTTCTAGATTTTAAACTCACTCAGAGCAAGGATCAGACCTTCTCCTCCTCCTGGATCTACTCTCTGGCGGCTGACTTGAGTGACCCAGAATGCTATTTTCACTCATTGAATTGTTCATTCAACAGTCACTGAGTGCCCCTCCGAGCTCAGTCCCGTGGGCACAGAGATGAATGACACAGTTCTTGCTCTCAAGGAGCACCCAGTCGAGGCGGGGAGTCAGAGCAGACAAGGGAATAGAACTTAGCGTCCTGATTGCACACAAGGTGCTATGTGAGCCCAGAGCACATCAGAGAGGGACTCATGGGTGCCCCGACTAACAGACTGGCCAGTGTGTCAAGCCAGTGTGCCCTGTGAGCAAGGGCAAAACTCAGGCCCTGAGAGTAGCACTGCTTCCCTACCTGCCACTCCCCACCCCTCCAATCCTCTGCATCCCAGTAAGGGACCATCATCTCCCACACAAACGAAGAGCCTTGAGTCCTCTTCCTGCACCTCATACATAACTGAGTCCTGAAAACTCTAAAACATGCCAACTCCATTCACTTCTCTCCATCCCAATGCAAATGCCCCACTTTTCCCCTTGACTGTGAAATAGTTCCCCTGGAACTAGCCTTTCTTGCTACAATGCACTTTCAAACAGTAGCCAGAGGAAGCCTTGGAAATATAAATAAGATTTTTCTCTGCTTAAAATCCTTTAATGGTTTCCCAATGTAAGTAGAATAAAATCTAATTCCTTTACTCTGGCCAAGAGGGCCTGTGGCCTGTTTCTCTCGCTGATCACATCTTGAATGGCTTCCCCCCACCCACTCTGCTCCTCCCACACCATCACAGCAAGCTGTTCTCTCTGGCTGGGGTGATTGTCCCCCAGCCCTCTGTATGGCTGGCTTCTTTGCCTTCTGAGTCTTAGCTTATGTCACTTTCTCAGAGAAGCCTCCAACCACTCTAGCATGTCATCCTATCCTATTGTCTTCATTGCACCTGGGTGCTGAGGGGTTACTTGTTACCTCACTTATAGTCTGTCTTCTCCCAAAATAATCTAATACCCTGAAATCAGAGACATTGCTTTCTTGTTCCCCACTGGATCCCCAGTAACCTAGCATCTAACCCTTGTATAACGAACCGGGTGAAAGAAGAGCGAGTGAAGGAAACTCACCGAAGCTGGGCCTCCTTGGCCAGAGCCAAAATAGCCGTGGCCCCTCCAAAGGAATGCCCCATCACGGCCACACGGCTCATGTCAATGCCACCCTGAGAAAAGCGTAGAGCGCAGCTAGGTCAGAAACTGAGGGCTGCCTTTTTAGGCATTCTTCGGGGGCAAGAGGAAGAAAGAGTAAAAACATGATGCAGAAGCATCATATATGAGGGAGCCCCTCAAGCCTGGAGCCCACTAGGGAGCAGCAGTCAGGCACCCCGGGGGGCCGTACAACCTTCTGTCAGCGGGAGTCTGAAAACCATGTTTTTCATCTTTATTTTTATAATCTTCCCACCTACAACCCCCAGGAGGGTGGACATTCAGACATCTATGAATACATGAGTGGACAGCGTGACGTGACTGCACACCAACTCCTCAGTCTGGGAGAGCACGTTAGGAGTAAGAGCCCCCTCCGTCCTCTGGGTCCCGGCCTCACCACCAGCCCAGCAGGACGACGCGTGGATGAGTCGAGGACAGCACTGGGGCCTTCTGCTGCCCAGGCACATTGCACTGAAGCAAGGACTCTTTGTACAGAAACCAACTCAGGTTCTACTTCCTCTGGATTTGTGTCCTTACTTCTATCCAAATCTGCTTGCTCCAACATGCTCTTGCAAGTATCTATTTCTGGCTGTCCCCAGAAGCTTTCAGGGCATGGTTATATAAAAAGCTTCTGCAGCTGCCTGCTTTGGGGCTTGAGAAATCTCACTAGGCTTTGCTGTCTAACCTCTGCCCTGGACTCTTGATCTCCTCAACACTCCCCAATTCCTATCCCAAGTTCTGCATCTAAATTCTCCTTTGCTCAGGACCTTCAGATCAACATCTTCGTTGATGGCCTCTTCAGCTTTTATTTTTAGGCTAACTGTTCACATGACTCTAAGTGCAGGACCACACAGACTTCACCTGCCTCATTCCCCATCTACATAGGTGTGAACTCCTTGCCCCCAAACAGGCAACAGCATCTCATGTCCTTGCAGGGCTGTTTATGCAGATGTATGTAAGCTCGAATATATAACTTCTCTTTTTATACAAGTGATGTGCTAGCTTACTTTTTTGCATAACATTAGCACATAAAAAGCTTCTTATCCTTTTTTCACAGCTACATTTAATTTCACCAAGGTACAGAAAACTATTGATCTTCAGATCTGTTCCTCTTCTGGACAGTCAGACCGTATTTTCCAGCAGTTCGATGTGGCCTTATGACTGAGTTCTAGACTAGTCCAATCTATAATGTAAGTGAAAGCAGAATCTCTACCTCCTGGCCAGGTCCATAAAAACTCTTACTCAAATCCCCATACCCTTTGCTGTTTTGCTGGCTTAATGTACACAGTGACATTTTCACAAGTGGAAGAGGGTAGAGCAATAAAATGGAAGGCGCCTGGGTCCCTGAGTAACCCCTCGAGCAGGAGCTCCCGTTTTGGACTTGATATGGGGAGAGACACATTTCTATCATGTTGAACCATGAGATTTGGGGGTTTTTTGTTATCATAATTAGTATTACCCAAACAAATACACCCATTTTTCTATAATCTATTAAACTAGTTCTCTTATTGGAGAACAAGCTTTTGTTACTACAATAAACAGTGGAATGAATACCCTCGTACATACATCACGCTGTGTATGCTTGTAGAATTCCCAAAACTGAAAATTCCTGGGTCAAAGAATTTGTGCATTAAATGGTGGAGAACTATTGCCAAACTGCCCAGCGTGGGGCAATCTGTACTCTTACCAGCAATGGAGAAGAGTATTTACTTCCCCACAGCTCTGCCAACAGAGTGAATAATCAATTTTTGGGACTTGCTCAATCTGATAGGTAAAAATTTAGGTTTTCATGGTTCTGAATTTTCTCCAAAAGGTTGCCTCTTAACCTTATGGTAGCCTGCCACCCACCCCCACCCCACGCCTGTCTCGGGCTCACGGGTACACAGGTCTGGACATCAGGCATGTGTGCTGGTGCCCCACACTAAGTGGTTAGTGAAGTACTCTACAGGCCAGGCTCTGCCTTGCCTACTGGCCATCGAAGCAGATGCTTCTCCCCAGAACACTTTACAAGAGCCTTTGAGAAAGAAATTTTCTAAAGAGGTTTTGGGGCACACAGCACAGGTTTTGTGATCAAATTTAAAGTTTGACTCTAACCCTTGACTGTGGTAGTTAGCCGTGGGAAGATAGTTAGCTTCTTTGATCCTTGGTTTCTTTCTATAGAAAGAGAGGAGAGTGCTTACTGAAGAAGTCTGGGTGAGGAACCCTTATCACAGTACTCATAAAGCAGAAATTATTTTACATATATACATAGAATATTAAAAACATGGCCATTAAAAATTATGCTGTAGAAAAATATTAACTGGCATAATAAGACACTCGCATGACTTTGTGGAGTGAACAAAGGGACCATAAAATGGCTGTGTTACATGATAACATTATTGTTTAAAAAAAAATACATATAAGTTACACATTTTAAAAGAATGAGAAAACATGTCCCAAAAATGTCCAAGAAATTGTTTCCTTTTTATGCTTTTGTGTGATTTCCTGATTCCCTGAATAGAGCCTGAGCTATTTTTGAAATTAGGGGAGAAACACCAGGGGAGGTGGGAAGAAAAATGTACCTTACAGGCACCAAACTTCCATCGCCAGGAAGTTTCTGTTCTCCTGAGAGGATTCTGGGATTCTCTCAAACGAGGCGATTAGCCTACAGTCAACATGGGTTGTTGCTGCTCGACAGTCCTTTCTTTGGGGATGGGACCATCTCCTCTTTACTAGGCAGTGCTGTGGGGTCCTCAGTCCTGGTGCTCAGGTTCGCCTGACCCAGAAGTGGGTGTACAACCTAGGCAGGCCAATCAAGTACCCTATTCCTCCGGCACAGAGATTGGCCCAGAAGGAGTGTGTGAGCCGAGTGGGACCACAGTCTTCCCAGATTAATGGGAGCCAACAGTCTCTTTTCCTTTTAAATCTGGAGCTGCGTGGAGATGCAGGCTTGGGCTGCCAACCACCACACTTCCTGCCTAATGGAGAGGGTCTGGTGGGACTGAAGGCCACAGACAGAGTGAAAGTGAGCCAGGGATGGGTGAGAGTGACAGCTCTGATGAGACCCTGGGTCTAGCTACCCTGACAGAAAGCCCGTCTACCTTTGGTCTTCCTAGTTATTTGAGCCAATAACTCACTAACTTTTGGTTTAAGTTAGTAAGTTCAGTTTCTGTTACTTATAACCAAGGGAGTCCTGATGAACACATGAGTTTCAGGTCATACCTTCAAGGTTATCAGATCCAACCCCCCAGGCAAGATGTTGAGGATGGTCCGCCCAGCGGTGACCTCTTGCAGGACCCTCAGCACGTGCATACACTCGTGGACCCTCTGATGCACCTGCAACAGACACAGCCCGGGAAGGAGGAACAATGCAGCACCAGCAGCGAGAAGTTCTCTCTCCCCTACAGGACTGCGGAAGAATGCCGGCCCCGTCGGCCCACCCACAGCTCAGCAAGCACGGTGGGCCCCACATCCCGGCACAGGCTCCGCTCCCTCGCAGCAGCTCACATAAGCATCACCTACTGGTACCAGGAACTCAGCCCTGCAGTTCCGAATCTATCTACGTACCCATGGGTTAGCAGGAGGACCATTTACGTGAAAGCATTTTGGAGAAAAAAAAAAGAATGCTCTTATTACCAATCCAGGACTGGACTCTCCTTGTCCATTTACAGCATCCATCTACCGCTACCGTCTGCCTAACACTGCACTGCCCCACCTCTCCTTTAACCCTGACTTTTTTTTTTTCTTAAGATTTATCCATTTATTTATACAAGCACTGGGTACAGTCTGAAGCGCGGGAGGGTGAGAGAATTCACCAGAGCCAGGGTGGGGAGCAGAACAGGCAGACTGACAAAGTACACTGCTGAGGGGAGCAGCGGGCACGGCAGGAGAGGTCTGCGGGCCATGTGGGACCCGCACCCGGCAGCCCCGGCAGCCAGGGATCCAACCGGTGCTGCAGAGGCTGCGGGCAGCTTCACAGCCCAGCACTCAACCGCTTGCTGCGCCACCAGGGGAGGCCCTAATCCTGACTTTTGACAACTACTTCCCCAACCCCACCCCCCCAAATCTAATGATAACATTTCTGATAGGATTTCCCATTTTGGTACTTCCCTCCCACCTAACAGTCTCTCTCCAGGATTTTTCATATTGCAACTTGGGGCAGCAGTGGGGAGACTGGGGCTGCAACCTCAAAACAGTGCTATTATCATATAGTAAGGCTGAACATTTGCAAGCTCATCCTTCAAGAGCTGTGCTTCAAAGCTCAGAAGGTAAGCCAGTTTGCAGCTGAGACCTGCCAGCATTGGAGGAGATAGAATGAAGACTAAGAAGTGCTGCAGGTGTGTAAATCAGTGGTTCTGCCCTGTGTACACAAGCCCCTCACTGCTCCTTTCAATGTGGGCCTCTGTCACTCGCAGCTATAAGTCTTGATCACTACCACTTCTCTCCCCGTGGATGTGGTAAGCTCAGACCCGCTGTGGCTGAGACCCAAGAGAGAAGGTTAGTGAAGCCTTCTTAGGAGTATAGGGAGGCCAGGGTTGTGCCCCATACCCTCACACACTGGCACAAGCCTACCTGGCCATTCCGAACATGGAATTCCTTCTCCCCTTCCGCAATTTTCCGGTGGGGGACCCATTCCTCCTCCAGCGACTTGCTAGTGGGCTGGTTCTCCTCTGGGGCCTGTCTGCAGAAACAGGTGGCCGCAGCTGACCCGTCCCTGAAACACACATGCCACCAGACAGAAACCAGAAGACACTCTTGAGCTTATTCTCCCCTTTACCAAGTCCTCCTTTTCAGACAAGACACTCTGGATCATCCTCTGACTAGTTGGGAAATAGATGTGGGCGCCTGCATGGGATGGTGGAAAAAACATGGAGTTTGAACACGGAGCTGGTCCTGAGCCCTAAGTCTGCTGTGTTATGTTAGTAAATTACTGAACATCTTTGAACTTCGCATTTCTCACCCACAAAATGGGTGTCATATTTGCCTGGCATGGATGTTATGAAGATTAGAAATAGTTTATCAATAGGGTACAAGCCTATATCCTAACCCACAAGTTATCTGATCTGTGGCAATGTATTATGACTGTCACCCCTCACCTGTGCTCTGGTACAGCAACCACGAAGCCATGAGAGGCCAGTTCCATGCAGAAGGCAGAATACAAGGTCCTGCAGATTCAGGAAGGGACAGAGAAGTGATCAAAATAATGGTCCAAACTTAGTCCCCAAGCAGGCTCTGCTAGTGACCTGAAAAGGCTGAACGCAGGAAGTTTCATGTGCAGCAGCTTTCTCCAGGTGCTTTCTCAGCCAGCATTCCCTTCCCTCACCAATGCGCCACGCGTCCTCCCCCAACCACTGCAAATCCATCCATGGAGTCTTCCTTCATACAAATACTGATTCATCATCTCCCCCCAGAAAATTTGGCCTCTTCAACAACTGCAATTTTATTGTCTACACATTGTTTGTGTCCAAATTACTTGGTAAGTTCCTTGAAGACAGTGACTTAGCATGTGGATTCTTAGCCTATCCTCCAATTTTCCAGGAAAAAAGGAATATGGCGGACATCGCCAATTTCCTACTCCGAACACCTATTTTTCCTTCCTCCTTTTTAACAGAATCTGCTTTTCAGCGGAAGACACAGTCAGGCCATCAAGTCAATTCCCTGGTCTCCCCTGCAGCCAGACTTGCCTGTGTGATTAAGTTCTAGCCGAGCAATGGAAATATAATGCTACCCTCATAAGTAATTTAATATTTCCTAGTAGATATATTTTTAAAAATTAAAAATAAACAGGTGGAATTAAATTGAAGAATATATTTTATTTAACCCAATATTGCTAAAACATTATCATTTCAACATAATAAAAATTTTAAAACTAATGAGATATTTTACTACTTTTTAAAAATTAAGTCTTTGAAATCCAATGTGTATTTTATACCTACAGCACATCTCCCACCGGAGCAGCCAATGTGGCTAGAAGCTACTATAATGGACAGGACAGAACTCGAGTCAACAGGATGTAAGCAGATGTGATACACAGAACTTCCAGGAAATCGGCTTCAAAAGGAGAGGGCTCCCTTCCTATTGCTTGAAATGTGGACGTAATGGCTAGAGGTAAAGCAGCCACATTGGGTCATGAGGTATCCTTAGTAATGGAAGCCACGTGTGGGAGAACAAGATTATAAGAGAAGTCTGACTCTCTGATAACTTCATGGAACTACCCTATCAGCTCTGCCTACCTCTAGCCTTTCCCTCCCTGCCCTTGCTCTTGGAATTTTGCTCTGGTTAATGAACAATATTTATAACTGGTTCACCGTAGGTCTATTGAAGTAAAGTCCCAATACAGACTCTTAGACCAAAGGGCTATCCTCTCAAGTCATGCACTCACCTGCTCTTAATGAAACACCTTCAAACTTAGGAGAGCAAGTTCCTTAACTTCTTTCCCTACTAGACTAATCTTTCTTATGGCAGGGACTCTTACTCTCTACTGAGCACTCTACTATAGGACAGACTCTGCACATAGCAGGTACTAAACTGATTGAATAAGAAAGCAATAGAAAACTATCTGCCTCCTTTCTAGCTTCAACTACTCTCCATTTCTGCTGGCTGTGGGCTGTAGTTATCTGAGTCTATGCTCAGGCTTCTCTAGTGGATGCAAATTTCTTGATTTATTTCTTTCTCTGTCTTCTTGCACCAAGGGGCTGGCACAGAACAGCTGCTCAATAGATATCTATGAACGAATAAAAGCCTAGCGAAACATAGCCCTTGTATTTATTCAATAAATGCTCATTGAAACTACTTTCCAGTGCCTGTCTTAGGCACAGGAAGAGAGAGAAGCCAGACATGGTCTCTGCCTTCATGGAACTTACACTCTAGCAGGAAAGACATTATAGAATAATCACACAAATGACTCATTACAATTAAGTTAAGTATTGAAAAATACACATTGTCTTGTGAAAGCACATTACCAGAAAGCTAAATATAATATACGGATCAGGATGTGTGTCCCTAAGAAAGTGACGTTCAAATGGAGACCTTCGAGGTAATCTGGAATTAGCCAAGTAAAGGGGAGAGAAAGGAAGAAAGAGAAGAAGAGTAAATATTCCAGGCAAAGGGGACAGCCTCAGAGCACAGCGCCGCTGAAAACCCAGCAGCAGGAAATAACACGGTGCCTTTACAGAAGCAGAGGAGATTCGCTTGTCTGGACAGCTGGAGTAGAGCAGGCAGCAAGAAACAAGGCTGGAAACTTTGACCTGGACCTGCATCCAGGTAAGATTATGCAAAGAGCTGAATTAAGTTCAAAGGGCTGTTTCAAAGATTTAAGTGAGGGTGTGACATTCATTCGCTAAATATTCACTGGGCACTTACTATATACCAGGCCTGTTCTAGCAGCTGGAGCACATGATCAAATTTGGTTTAAAAAGAGGTCTCAGTGTGTCTTTTTGGTTTAAAAAGCCCTCTCTCAGGTCTCAGGAAGCCAGTCCACACTGGCTTCAGTGTGGACAATAGTTTAGGAAGAGCAGGGAGGCAAAAATAGATGCCTTTGACATGTGTGAACTCTGGACTTACATGCTATTGAAGGAACACAGAAGGAACATGCACAAACCTACACAGAAATACATGTACGACCATCATGAAGCGATACCACGCTCCAAGGTGCGGAGGTCCTAACTCATGGGAAGAGCTCTGAATGGTCATGGAATCAGAAAACTTAGGCCAGTGTCTCCCACACTCAGATCTTCCAGTTCACCAGCCCAACGTGAAAACCTTCCAGTTTTCTCCTCTGTGTTAAGAAACAGGGATGAGAACTCCCAGTCCGTGGGAGCAGCACGTCCATTTGGCAGATGAGGGAATCTAGGTTCAGAAAGTTCTACAACTGTCCCTAGCTCAGCGGGGCCCAGGCAGCATGGCTGAGACTTATAGGGGACTGGTGCTCTGAGGGCAAGGAGACAGGGTAGGGTTGTCTCGTTCGCTGCTACATCCAGGCCACAGGCAGAGCTGTCCCTCCATGGATGTTAAATCGATGGCTCTCTGACCTAAGTCTGAGCTCCTTCTAGTACTTATGGGAGGAAGAAAGCTAAAAGGGTGTATTTATGTAACTGCCGGAACATGAGAAGCAAAGCACTGAAGCTGCCAAAGGCTCCACCAGGTGAAAAGGGCTAGGAAGGTGGCCCAGTACTGTGGAATGAAGCAGATGGCAGATAAGACAGCTGGCACAGGGAAGTGTCTACATTCTCTGCCCTTGGAGAATAAGTTTAAGACTTAGCAGCTGTCACCAGGCAAGGACTATGACAAGGTCCAGGGAGATAGACTCTTACCTGAAGGCTCCCAGGCCATGGGAGAAGATGATCAAGGGGTATCCTGAATCCTTTGTCTTAAAGGGGCCATTCCAGCTAACAGGCAGGCGACAAGATCCTAGCAGAGACATGGGTGATAGAATCTCTAGCTGCCCCAATCCTATAATCCCAAGGGCAGTCTGGGTACAGGCATGAATGGGGACAGGTGACCCTCCCCTCTGGAGACCATCCTTTTCCCCTGAGCCTCCCAGGGCAATAAATTACCTTTTTTGTACCCCTTTTCTTCCTTAGAGAACATGAAAACATAAGAAAAAAGGAAGATAAATCCAAAGGGCACTGAACAAGTGTGAGATAAATCCCTGAGAAGGCAACACGGTTGGTAATGTTCCTACTGGTGGGGTCTTTGGGGGAAGTGGATGATTAAATGTGACTCTGCCCAGAAGAGAGGAGAACTGGGGAAACAACTGCAGGAGACTGTGGGCTCCTTGGTAGTTAAGAATGTTTCTCTGATCTACAAAATAGCTGGCACTGTGGAGTGGGAACTAATACATACTGAATAAACAAACAATAGTCACCACGTATGGGACACAGTCTACATCCCAAACACTGCACTAGAGGCTTCACAGACTTCACACACTGCCATGCTGCAAACGCAGGTGATTAGACAGGTTGAGGAACTTGCTTAAGTCCCACAGCTAGTAAATGATAAGTCAGGATTGGAATCTAGGACAGTCTAGCTCTATAACCAAAGCTCTCACATACATAATTCTCTCCCAATTCTCCACTGGGCCCTGAGCCCAGGAAGGGAGGGATTAGCTACAGTGCTGAGGTGGGTGATCACCCAGGCCACGCCTCCAGGCCGGCCATGGGAAGCATGGGAGTAGATGAGAGGTTTCCAGGAAGGGGGCGTCAAAGGCCTAGAGTGGAAGATGTAGGTTAAATGGATGCCCCACCACACAAGGGCTAGATAGAGCAAAGGTACTGCTTCAGCCTGGGGGATCTCCTAGGAGCACAACCAAGAAGTCAGGAAAGCATCTGGGGGTCAGGCCAGCCCTTACCTATGGCCAGGTTGAACAGCAAACCTCCCCAGCGCTTATTAAACTGCATGTAATCAGCAAGGCCACTACAGTATTCATAGCGGGGAATCCACAGGGGCTGCTCCGTGGTCTCTGCTTCTTGGCAGGGGTAGAATAGTCGAAAGAAGCTCCCCTGTAGAAAAGAAGAAAGCAGCTGCTCAGATCAAGAAGCACAAGCAGCAGTGGATTTCCCAAGAGACACACTCAGCAAGTGTTTGGGGCACCCAGCAAAACAGGGCACCAGAATGGGCAAGCTTAGGTTTCAGAAGCCATTTCATTTTTCGCATACTTGTTAAGGCTTATGTTATTCCAAACAGCCAACTGCATTTCAAATTACATCTGCGAGGCACCAAAACCTTTTTGGTGCTTGGGACATCAAGAGATTTAAATCTGACCTGAGCCCAGGAAGGGAGGGATTAACTTCCGTGCTGAGGTGGGTGATCACCCAGGCCACCCCTCCAGGCCGGCCATGGGAAGCATGGGAGTAGATGAGAGGTTTCCAGAAGGGGGCATCAAAGGCCTACAGAGGAAGATGTAGGAATGGGGGGAGAATAAGTCTAGAACCAAAGCAGAAGGGGGGAACAGATATGGCTGAGAAAGAGGAGACTGTCTTTCTCCACGGAGAGGAGTTAAAGGCCACTGGCACGTGGGCCATACAAATTAGGAGGAGACTGAAAAAACTTTGCAAACCAGCATCTGCTCTCAACACAGGTAAGAAGAAGAACTGAGAGTTGGGCCTCCCTGGCGGCGCAGGTGGTTGAGCACCGCGCTGTGAAGCTGTTCGCAGCCTCAGCAGCGCTGGTTAGATCCCGGCTGGTGGGCGAGGGTCCCACATGGCGCAGCAGACCTCTCCTGTCTCTCCCGCTGCTCCCCTCAGCAGTGTATTTCGTCAGTCTGCCTGTTTTGTTCCCCGCTCTGTCTCTGGTGAATCCTCTCACTCTCCCGCACATCTGGCCTGTACCCCAGTTCTTGTATAAATAAATAAATCTTTAAAAAAAAAAAAAAAAGGGCCTCCCCGGTGGCACAGCAGTTGAGGGCTGGGTTGCGAAGCTGCCCGTAGCCTCTGCCGGTTTGATCCCCGGCTGCTCCCCGGCCACTGGAGGAGGGTCCCACGTGGTACGCAGACCTCTCCTGCGGTGCCCACTGCTCCCCTCAGCAGTGTACTTCGTTCCTTCTGCCTGCTCTGCTCCCCGCTCTGGCTTTGGTGAATTCTCTCACCCTCCCGTGCTTCTGACTGTACCCAGTGCTTGTATAAATAAATAAATAAATCCTTAAAAAATAAATATTCTTTAAAAAAAAAAAAAAAACTGAGAGTTACCTTTGAAACTATAGCCCCCCTGACATGTTTCTAATAGGAAAGAGGAAGAAAAAGGCAAGGAAGACAGGCCTGTGTCTAACCAAATCCAGACCAGTGCTTACTCAGTTTCCCCAAGCTGGAATTGCACCAACAGAATCACTACTGAGAATTCCCAAGCAAGCAGAGCCATGGAGGCATGCAGGGACTGAGCTAGAGGTGCTTACCTGCAGACTCAGGCCCTCCATCACATCCCCGCAGCCTACGAGATGGGGTCCCGTGACAGGTGGAAAGCCCACAGACTGGGTGACCCCCATTTCATCACCAGTTGAATCGAATGACTTGGGCAATGCTGAACTTGACGGCTAGAGGGTGGAACACAGAACAGCTTCTTGCTGGTTTCTACTTAGCATCCAGTTGCTTACACATATCATCAGCACCCTCCCCTGTAATCTCTCCACCCTCTTGCCAGTGACTCATTCCATCTTCCACATTATCTGCTTTGCTCCACTGACTTTGTCAAGGTTTAGGAGCTGCTTTTTTGTTGCTGGTAATAGTGGTGGGATGAGGAGGTGGTTGTGAAAAGGAAAGTGAATTTCCATAGTCCTTAAAATCCACTAACAAGTGTTTATTCAATACACATTATAGCCCAACATGTAGTAACCGTTGCAGAAAATATAACACAGTTGTCCTCCTGAGGCCAAGAATAATACTCAGCACCAAGATCTATTATTTACTCTGCATCAGCACTGAACCAAGCTCCTGATATGCATTACACCAACTCATTCTCTCAACAACCATCTGAGGAAGGTCCTATTAAGACCCTATTTTGTGGGCCTCCCCGGTGGCGCAGCGGTTGAGCGCTGGGTTGCGAAGCTGCCTGCAGCCTCTGCAGCCGGTTCGATCCCCGGCTGCTCCCCGGCCACCGGAGGAGGGTCCCACATGGCGCGCAGACCTCTCCTGCCGCCCGCTGCTCCCCTCAGCAGTGTACTTCGGTCCTTCTGCCTGCTCTGCTCCCCGCTCTGGCTCTGGTGAATTCTCTCACCCTCCTGCGCTTCTGACTGTACCCAGTGCATGTATAAACCAAACAAACCAACAAATAATAAATAAAATAAATAAGACATGCCTCTAGAAAATTAAAAAAAAAAAAAAAAAAAAAAAAGACCCTATTTTGTGGAGGAAATTAAGGCACAGAGAGGTGGAATAGCTTTCCCAAGTCACACTGCTTACGGGTGGCAAACCCTGGCCTGTCTAATCCACACCTGAGTTCTTAACCCTTAGTGACTCTGCTCAAGGGGAGACATGGTTACTTATTTATCCAATCACAGACCTCAACTCTTGGCTGTTAGGGTGGTATTTGTGCTGGGCCTCGAACAGGAGGATTTAGAGGCAGGAGAGAAGGAAAGCATTTCTAGATAGGACATAAAATAAGGGCAAAAAAGGGCAGAGACAGGGAAGAGTACAATGTGGACAGCAGATTAAACAGGAACCTTCAATGTGCAGGTGGGCATGCGTTGGACCAGAAACAGCCCTGGTCAGCATGGGCTGACCCCTCCTAGCCTCTAGACTGGCCCTCATTGGCTGGAGTCAGTCAGTCCTTGGTGTCCTCTGGTCCGCATCGAGGTGGAGAGTAGGCACATGACATAAGTTGGTCCAATCAGAGCAAAGCCCAGGACTATGATTTCATGTTTGAAGGTGGAAAAACGTTCTTTCTTGTTCTGAACTAGCAGTGAGGTGCACATATGAAACTTTGAATTGTGGTGGCCATATTGCTACTTTTGAGGAGAAGCTACCCATGCAGGCTGGCAGAGCTAAGTGAATCACAGAAAAATGGAGCCCTATTTGTGGAGGCATTAAAACCCTCCAGTAAAGCCTGATCCACTCCCAGATGCTGTCTAGTTACATGAATCAATAAATCCCTCTTTTTAGTTCAACTGAGTTTAGATTTCTATTGCTTGAACCAAGAGCATCTAGTTGGAACTAGTTAGTAGACGAGTTCCATACCTCTATTTTTACTTGTTAAATCATTCTACTTTCCTTCAGATACTGTGGGATGTCTCAGTCAAAGCATGTCTGGGCATGAGACACCTTAGAGATCATTTCTGTTGATCTTCTCCACAGTCATCCCCCAAGCCCCAGCCCAGGACACACATGCTCTTTATGGATGAAGAAATCAAGGTCCTACGAGGTTACGTGAGCTGCTCAAGGTCACTAGCAGAACTATTATTACACAGAGATCTCCTAATTGCCAAATTCCAGTTGCCTGGTCCAGTGGTAAGCCCCAACCAACCAATAATCCTGACATCATTCTATTGAATTTTTTAAAAAAGATTTATTTATTTATGCATGCAAGAATTGGGGTGTAGGTCAGAGAGCAGAGGGGTGAGAGGATTCACCAGAGACAGAGTGGGGAGTGGAACAGGCAGACTGAAATACACTGCTGAGGGGAGCAACGGCCACGACAGGAAAGGTCTGTTGTGCCATGTGGGTCAGCTCCATGGCCAAGGATCCAACTCGTGCTGCAGTGGCTATGGATAGCTTCATGGTGCTGAGACTTAACCCCCTGTGCCACCAGAGAGGCCCTCTGTTGAATTTTAAAAGATAATAAATGATTTTCTTTCCACTACAGACTTCTTCATTTCATTCATCTGAAGCAAGTTAAACCCAATCTTTCTCAAAAATAAACCCAATCTTTCCTAAAAAGAAGTTATGCTCTTGAGGCCATCAGCAGACCAGCTGCCACAGCAAAGCTGAATGCACGCCTCGTGGTCTCAGGTCCTGACCTTCCCCCTTGTTGAGGGTACACGGAGAGACCTATGATTGGAGGTACAAGACACATGTCACCCACATGACAATGGAGCAGTCACAAGTTCTAAGAACCATAAAAAAGATCAGATCCTATATGGCAAGAGTTCTAAGAACAAAGTGTTTTTTTAGCTTGATGGTAAAGGGTGGGGGCAGACAGGAAAAGCAGAAGAGTGTGAGCAAAGGCAGAGAAGTAAGAAGGCACATGTGAGAAACAAGTAGTCAGTGATGGATGCAAGGTGAGAAAAGGAAGTTGTGACCAGATTTGGAGGGTAGCAGTCCCTCAAGTGCTAGGCTGAGGAGCTGGGATGTACTTTGGAAATGAGGTCGTAGATACGAGACATTATGCCTGAAAGACCCAAATTTGAGCCCCAGCATCTTGGCTGGCTTGCCTGCTTATCTCTGCAAGTTATCTGATCTCTCTAAGTCTGATTCCCCATCTGTGCAAAGGGAATACTATCCAGCCTCACAGCGTTGCTATGGCGATAAAGTGAAATAATGTATTTAAAGCACTCAGGATAGTATCTGGCTCTGAGGAAGCATCCAGGAAATATCTGTTGATTGAGTGAAAAGTAGAAACAACCGAATTTGGCAACTGAGTGATTTGGGGAGTCAAAGGAGGGAGAGAGCCAAGATGAGTAAGGTTTCAGGACTGCTTTACCAGAATGGTAACAGTTGCCTATGGGAAAAGATTCTGGTCTCACCTTGCATAGAGAAGAAGACAGAGATAAGAATCAGGATGAATAGATTTGAAAACAGTCAAACAGGAGGAGGGCAGAACCCTCTGCCCTCATGGGGAGGATCTGGGAAGGTCATCAATTAAGTTTGGAAATAAACACAAACTAAAGAAACCAATTGGTCAGTGTGATGGTAACATGAAAATTAATCTACATTCCCTGGGCTCACACTGACTGATGCCCAAGTAGGATGGGGAGATGGAAAATTCCAAATCGACTTGCAAATTTTGCCTATGAGACATCCACACAAAACGTCCAGATTCATCTGTAACAAATGCCATGGAATTTTCCAAGGAACTCAGCCCAGGTGTCTCTATCTTTTTTTGTCTACCTTATCTAAACAATCCACAGGGTGCCTGTCTAGAAGCCTCTCCTCCCACTCAAAATCCCAGGGAAATTGCTGGTCCTCTGTGAATTTTCTAACCTTTTAACCTTCCCTCTGTTCAAATTGACTCTATTCAATTTTTTACACACATACCTAGCTTTTCCAATATGCTACAGAGGCAAAGAATGTTTTTTATACTTCTTTGTAGGCCAAACCATCTATTTCATGCTTTCCCCCAAAGAGTTGGAACTGAATAAATTTTCCTTTATGTAGCTTTGATTTAAACACTCTCAATTCTTCAGTCTTTTTCATGTAAAAACAGGTTATATGGCATAGAAGGAAAAGAAAGGCTTTGGTGACAGTCTAAAATTCCACCTCCACTTAATTGGTTGTGTGATCTTGAGCAAGTCCCTTAAATTTTAAGTCTCTGGTAATTGATCCATACGATAGAAATAATAAAAATCATTCATGAAGTTGTGAGGATTAATTAATGTATGTACGGCCCCTAACATATAGAAGGCACTATGGCCATAGGTGGTAGTTCCCATGATCTCTCTGAATCTAAATTCCTTATGTGTAAAATGGAGACACTACATAAGTGACATTTAGATAAGGAAATTGATGGTGGTCTAAGGTCTGGTTTGTTTTAAGTACTCATAAAATGTTAGGAATTACAAAGGTATGTCTCTCTTTTCTCATACCCAGTCGAGATTTCTATCCTTTTTCCTGCATTAAATTCTTTGGCAAAAATCGATTCTTTCCTCCCAGTCTTTTCAAGCCTGAGACACCCCTACCATAACTAGTCTACTCCACAGCCCAAAGAGCCCAGAGAGAATGGATGGGGCTCATAGGACAGCTGTCCATCTCCTGCTGGGACCCTGTTTCTATTGACAGGAACTGCCCTTCTGCCAGCTGTGTGGGCTTTTCATCACTGGCTATTTCAGAACAGTGCCCAAGATAAGCACTTTTCTGAGGTTTCCTTTCAGACAAAGATCTCTGGAGGCTTAAAGCTCATTAGTCTGATCTCTGTTCTCTGGAGGAAGTGAGGAAATACCATCCTGCTCTTAGAGCACAGAGACCAGCTCAAAGGGCTGGCTTGAGCTACAAGGAGGCAAAGCTAGAAAAGAAGCCAAGAGAAGAGCGCTCCAGTGCATTAATAATTATAATAAAAATAATCTCTCTCGCTTGTGATGGCTTTACAGTTTACAAAGCACTTTCACACGTACTTGTTTACTGGCCTCACACCCTAAAACCAATGGAGCAACTGTCATCTCCACTTTACAGGCGAAGAGAGTGTCTGATTTGCCCAAGGTCCCGCAGCGAGTGAGCAGCAGAGCTGGGCTAGAACCTGGGTCTACTCACTGCGAGTTCGCGGATCGAGAAGGAACGGTGGCCCTTCTTCCACTAACATTAAAAACAGTAACGTGAGGGTGAGCGTGAAGCACATCAAGCATAAAGAAGCCCAAATTCCAGTGACGCTGTAGGTTCAGGGTAGGACTCAGAGGGGGACCGCGGGGGGCGTGGGCTCAGGGTGAGGGTTATAGGGGCTGAGTGCCAAGACCAGAGCAGAGAGGGAGTCCAGGGGCGCGGGGAGTGTTGGGATGAAGTGACAAGCGGGAGTTAAGTGGATTAAGGGTGAGGGGGGATATTGGAGGTGTCTGCATAGAAACAGAAGGATGAAAAGACCAATGTGGAGCTCCGGGGCTTGAGAGGAGGAGGCCCCAAATCGGGCTGGAATTAAAAAAAAAAAAAAGTCTGCAGACATCTCAATTCAGAATACCAGCTTTCTCCTTCCAAACTTACCCAGCCGAGTTGACCCTTCAGAAGCAGCTCAGACGTTGAACTCCACGGAAACAAGAAACCGCCCGGGCCGCCGTGGCGCTTGGTAGTTGTAGTTCTCAGAACTCAACATTGGCGCTTAAAACACGTCCCTCCTCGCTTCCTGGAACCATAACTCCCGAGGTGCACCGCGCAGGATTGCGCAAATCAACCCTAGGACTACTATTCTCGGAGACCCGAGGACTACAATTCCCAGGGTTCCACGCGACGTCGCCTGTTGGGTGTAACCTCCCAAGGCCACGGATGCGGGCTATTCCTCCCCCTGGCGGTGTGAGAAGCCGCAGGCACGAGGACTGTTTATAGCGCCGTTAGTAACCTTCCGCTTCCCGCTCCTCAAGTAGTTCCTAGGCGTGTCTAGTCATTAAGCATAGAATTCTCTGCTTTATTCGAGGGGCGATGGAGAGTAGGTCGGAGCTTGTTTTGTACCCCTCTCCGACCCCCCCCCCCACTTTGCTTCTTGTGAATGTATGAGTCAGATCATTCAAATTAAGGGCACATTTCCTACCGACGTGTACGTATTGACTCCTATAATTTTCTATGGTTCTTCTCCAGAGCCTAACTGACCCAAAACAAGGAGAAACCAAAGAGATCAGCAGCTGTCCTCACCCCGCCCTCAGTCCCAATCCCTCCATCCACCCTGTCTTATAAAATACTATCCCTGGCCTGACCAGATTTCACAATCTGGTAGAAGATTCCAACAAAGGAATAATTACAACACAGTGGTATGTGTTCCGATGTGGGCAACATGGGGTTGTGGGAGCCTGGGAAAGGGGGCCTGCCTGGGCAGCGGGGAAAGGGGTGTCAGCAAGTCTGCTGGAGACCTGGAGGAAGAAGACCTAGGGGTACAGGCAGTGTGAGGAATGTGTAAACCCTGTGGCCGGAGTTCCCAGGTGAGGGATGGCGTGGAGTCATGCCTGGCGAGCCAGGTAGGACCGAATTCTCAAGAATCCTGTAAACGTCCAGAAGAAATCTGGATCATTCAGCAGCTTCCTACCACCTGTTGAATGAGGTCCCACTTCTTAACCTGGCATTCAAAGTAGTTCCCAGCCTGGTCTCCCACCTTCCCCAGAAGTGTCGCTCATGTAATCTCTGGCAGGAATGCCCTTTCTTATGCCCTTTCTTCTGCTCTGGCCACCACCTGCTACATTTACCTCCACACCATTCTCAGGCTGTATCAGGTTCTCGTTACCTCCGTGTTTTCACTCACGCTTTTCTGTCCACAGAATAGTCTGTCCTGCCTAGTGGCCTGTATGAGCCTGTTGTTCCTTTAAATTTGCCTAGGTCCTCCCTCTCCATAAGCCTCCATGATTATCACAATTTTAAAAGACTTCTACTCCGCTCAGTGGCTGAAATATTTGTGTGCAACTTTCATTTGGGGGCTGGGAGGTCTTAACTCTCAGGTAAATTGTGTGAGGTCTTTGAGGTCAGGTGTGGAGAACTCACCCCTCTCTCCACCCACCTCCCACACCTTCAAATCACCCGTGTCCACGCCTGTGCTAAAGCACACATAAAAGCTTCTCCTGAAGCGTCATCACTGAGTCTGTGATAGTCGTGATGGTCTTTTCTTGCTTCTGCTTATCTTTCAAGGACAGCAGGATGGCCTTGTAACAAAGGGACAAAAATACTTGTACCCATGTTGAACAGGAACAGGGGCAGAGGGGATGGGAGGATGGGGTAGGAGACAATCTTTCATAAGTTGACAGACTGTGTTTCAGAGTGCAGGCCCAGAGGAATGTTCACCATCCTCAAGATGACATCTTATTGCTCAGACCGAAATAGCCGTGTAAGACAGAACTAAGATACCTAACTCATGGTTAGATAGACAAGGGGTATTCAGTGCAATGCAGTGCTGGATCCAAATTGAAGTTATGCCATGATTTAGCAGAAAGCAACTGACTGGGTCCTTGGGGAGACTAATTTGAGAGCCTTACCTCCAGTCTCCTGCCAGGTGACCTCACATTGAACTGGTTCTTGTCTCAAAAGCTGGTGGCATGGTTTTGGCTTCTGTGCCATCAGGTTGGGGACCATGTTTAGCAACATTGCCACCACCATCCTTTCAGGAGCCAAGATAAAGTCATCGAGAGAGTGATGACAGCACCGCACTATGGTAATTAAGCCCTGGATTTAATTAAAGCTGTGGCTGGTGGTGGTGGTGATGGCAGAACATAAAAGCTCAGCGCAGATCAGAGAGTAGCGGCTTTTGGCTAATTAATCATTCTTCTGCAGCTGGCTCAGAACACCCATGACTCACCAGAGCCCCCAGTTATTAGAAGGGTAGCTGTCTCCTACTCCCAGACCAGGCCACACTGGGGACATTTACTGGCCAAGTAAGCTTCATACTCCCCAGGAACAGTCTCCTTCACTGTCTTTGTCACTCTTAGAAAGATCTACCCAACTCTTCCCTGTTGCAAAATAGACAAGAGCCAACAATGATCAGTGACCTGAAGCCAATTCTGCAATCCTTTGTCCCCAGCCCACTTCCCAGTCAATGAAATTCAACTGTTTTGTTCTTCAAAGCCCACTTCCCAAAATGTAATATAAAGCCCATTCCCTTAACCTTTCTGGGAGGTAGATCTGAGTTCTGAGGCTCCTATAGCCTGCTGACCTAGTTTTGCATCAAAGTCTTTCCTTTCCCAAATTCTGTAGCATAACTTTTTGGCATTTATATACATTAGATGGATAAACCCTTGACTTTTTCAGAAACAAATCCCAGTTTTATGCTGCACATTGCTAAGTCCCTTCCCAGGGCTCAGAAGAGACTATGAAGCATAAACTTCATTAATTTCTTCATACTGTGACTCTGAAAAGGAGAAAATTATACAATATCTTGATTGCTTTCAAATCACTGCTCTTATACAAATTGTACCCTTGCCCTGAGGTTGAAACCTGCTCAAATATACTTAGCTCTTTCTTCTATTATAGCTGGGAAGTTAGTGAGTAATGGGCTAGTGATGGAGGAATTGAGTTGTGTCCCGCTCTGAACATAACTGCATTTACTTTTGTCAGCATTGGGAACCAGAGGGAGCCCAGATGAATCCTCTTCTAACATCCTGTGAATAGGTAGAATATATGTTCAATAAAGCCAAGAACAGAACTGTACTTTATAACTGCTCCTATAACCATTTGATTCTTCCATTCAAATATTGAGCACCTAGAGTGTCCCAGGCTCTGTGCTCCAGACGGGAGGTCAGGCTGTGATAATGGGCATTCATTCTCCACCTACACGATGCCTTCATTCTAGTGAGGAAGCAAACATATAACCAAGATAATTACATACAACAAGCAATATTATGATTTATAAGAAATATATATTTGGTTATTTAGATGACCAAAATATATTTCTCATATATATATATTTGACCTTCATAATACTTCATAATATATTTCTCATATATATATATATATATTTGACCTTCATACTTTCCTAAGTGTTGAGGAGGATAAAGGTGTCTTTTGTTATGTGAATAATGTGACTTTTTTGGGAAAGATTTATTTATTTATGCATACAAGAGCTGGGTTACAGGCCAGAGGTGCAGGGGGTGAGAGGATTCACTAGAGACAGAGTGGGGAACAGAACAGGCAGATTGACTGAAATACACTGCTGAGGGGAGCAGCGGGCGAGACAAGAGAGGTCTGCTGCACCATGTGCACTATGAAGCAATAAGGTGGCTTTTTGAAGCACCTAAGGATAGGGGTTAGTTGCCAGGTAAACCAAGCAATTGGAGGGTTGGAATATTCAGTCCCACCTTATGGCCTCTGGGGAGGCGGGTGGGGCTGGAGGTTGAATCAATATCCAGTGGCCAATGAGTTCATCAGTCATGCCAATGTAATGAAGCCTCCCAAGAGGAGAGGTGGTGTTGTGTTAGGACTACAGGAGGAGATCCATGTGGACCCAGATGTAAATTCCAGTTTCTCCCACTTACCCACACAGCCCTGGCCTGATCATCTACTCTTTTTCTTAGAGGAGTGTTGGAGAGCTTCATGGTTGTAGAGATTGGCACACCTGGAGAGGGCATGGAAGCTCCTCTCCTTTCCCCATCCCTTGCCCTATGCCTCTCTTGCATCTGGCTGTTCCTGAGTTTTGGCCTTTTGAATAAAGCAGTAATCTAGTAAGTGAATAGGTATCCTGAGTTCTGTGAGCCCTCCAAGCAAAATAATTGAACCTGAGGAGTAGGTCCTGGAATCTCTGGCTTATAAACAATGGTCAGAAGCACAGGTAATAATCTGGGCTTGTGACTGACACCTGAAGTGTAAGGATAGTGGAACTCTCCGATTTGTAGCCAATTGGTCAAGAGCACAGGACTTAAAACAACTGGAGTCTGCAACAGAGAGTGTGTCAGAAGGCTACTTCCTGTGGAATCTCCACACACCTACATTGCAGTTGGGCCCAGGGACCCTTTCACTGTTAACTACTTGACAGGAAATAGGATGCTTCCCTGGAAAAGAAAAAGAGTGAGAAGCTCAGAGGATGGCCTGGGAAGGTTTCTCTGAGGAGCTGGTATTCGAGCTGAACCCAGCCATACCTACCATTTCGTGATTATCTACTGCATATAGACATAGTAGTTTTAGTCACTTTCAAATTCTGTACCCCCTTTTGACTCTCCTAGAAAGTACGTCATATTCCTTCTACTTTTCAGACAAGGAAACAGGCTCGACTCTATTGATACGTCCCTTCCTGATCGCCCTCTCCAGGCTTGGTTTCCAGCCAGCCGAGTGAGCCTGTTCCTCTCTGCTTTCTTGCCTAAGAGCTTTCATAGGTAATCATGAACCAGGAAGGGGAGGAGATGTTCCTCACTCGAAGGGCAACCCAGCCACCAAAGGAGCTGACGCTTCCCTATCCTCAGATAAGATGATTTTGAGGTGCATTCCGTACTGTGTCTCAGAGTCCCCAGGGGAATGAACCCAGTGGCTCTCAGCAGGTTTTCCCTTCCGCATCTTA